GCCCCTGTCTGGGTCTAAAAGCTGTAGATATTTATTCCCATGCTTTGCCTCATGGAAAACAGAATCTGATATTCCTCCTGTGAATTCACTCATCTCCTTTTGCCAGCTGAAGCAGTCACTGGTCCTACCTGGATATATTTTATGCATAAGTCTGTTACTCAGTCTTTCTAATAAACTTGTTTAACTTGAAATAAATACCTTGTTTTTTTTTTTCTATTTATTACATATAATAGAATTCGTTTTATTTTTTTTTGGAGGGGGGAACTTTTTTATTTGCTTGATTCCAGGAAAGTTTGCACTGTCTGTTTATGGCATATAGTCTCAATATTTCTATTTCAGTTGCTCTATTAGTTCTAGGTTTGTGACTTTTGAAAAGTATTTTAATATTTGTAAATTTCCTCCTTTTTAAAAGAGGAGATCATGTCTTTGTTGTTGGTAATTTTCAGAATAAATGAAATAGCATTCATCGACTAGTCTAATTATTGCTTAACACATAGTAAATGTTTTACATATTTTTTCCATCCACAAATTATCATCTGCAAAGTCTATATTGCCCCAAATCATTTATTATGTTTCCTTTTTAAATTACAGACAAAAAATTTCACTCTTTTAATGTGCAGTTCTGTGATTTTAAAAACACATAGTGTTGTGGTAAAATAACCATAATCAAATACAACACGGTGTCATCACTACCCACCCCCCCACCAAAAAAAAAAAAATTTCTCATGCTTTTTATAACCCCCTTTCAGTCAATAACTTCCAAACCCCTAAACCCTGGCAATAACTGATTGTTCTGTATTAATATAGTTTTGCCTTTTCCAGAGGTCATTTTGTGTTGGGGTCATCAAGACCACTCCTGCTTTGGGAGATTGGCTAGAAGGATTCATGAGACTCAGCATATAATTGCGCTCATGGCTAAGATTTACTACAGCAAAGTAGTAAGAATACATAAGTAGATCCTGAGGGTAAAAGACCCAGGCACCTTCTGGAGGTATCCATGTGCAGATATTTTATGCTCTCTTCCTCATGATAGGCCACAAAGAGCTCAGTCTTCCCCAGCAACAGAAATGAAGCATTCTGTGTGTGATATTTCTGCCCACAAATCTATAGACTCAATGCCTGAAGTTTTAATTGGGGCAGATCAAAAAAGCACTAACATAATTCCAGACTCCTGGAAGGAAAAGATGTGTTCAACAAAAACCACATTGTTTGTACAAATAGTCTAGTCACAGTGAGCCTCCTTATTAATTAGGATATGGTAAGAACACTCTTGATCTCTTATTGCCTTTTTAATAATAAGATAGAGTTTGTAGTGATACCTCTATTTTATTCTTAGTATTGTTAAAATGTGTATTCTCCTTTTTTTGTTGTTAGTCTTGCTAAAAGTTTATCAATTTAAACTTTTCATGGAATCAACTTTTTCTTTTATTTATTTTCTCTATTTTGTTTTAAATTATATTTATTTCAGCTGTTATCTGTATTATTTTCTTCCTTTTTTGATGCTTTATTAAGTATTTTTAAGGAAACATATTACTGATTTGAAAACTTTCTTTTTTTCAATATAAAATTGACTGCATAAATTTCCCTTTAAGCTCTGCTTTATTTGCATTTCACAAATATCGATTATTTCTATATTCATTTTCATTCAGTTCGAAATATTTTATATCTCTAGAAATTCTCCTTTAGACATACACATTCACACATACACACTTACATTTAAAGTTTCTTATAAACAATATGTAGATGAGTTTGATTTTAGCAAATTTGCTGATCTTTGATAATCTTAGATATTTACATGTTCAATTATTGATATGGTCATAATCAGCTCTACCCTTTTGTTAATTTTTTTCTGTTTCTCAGTTTCCACTTCTCTGAGGCCTTATTTCGCACGATTTAAATATTTTTAATGTTAGATTTTAATGTACCTACTGGCTTTTTGGCTACATTTTTATATTTTTAATGGTTAATCCAGGTATTGCTAAATACATAACTAATCTTTCACAGCATTTTTGGAGCTAATATTTTACTACTTTAACTTAAATGTATAAGGTTTGCAAACTTATATGTCCCTTTAGCATTGCCTCTACTTATTACATATCTTATATATCAATGTACCTCAAATTCCCTCATTCAAAGTTGTAACTTTTTGCTTTCAGCAGTTATGTGTATCTTAAAGAATTTAAGAGTAGAAAAATAACCTATTTCATTTACCCAATATTTATAATTTTCTATTGCATTTTCTTTATTTCTGAAGTGCTAAGTATCCCTTCAGTGTTATTTTCCTTTGGCTTGAAAAACTTCCTCTAGCACTTATTTTAGAAAAGATTTCCTGGACACAATTTTTTTAGTTTTTCTTTATCTGAGAATGTTTTTATTTCACCCTTTTAATGGAAGGATATTATTGTTGGGTATAGAATATTGAATTCTTTTCTATCAGCACTTTAGATATATTTCGCACTGTATTTTTCACTCTATTATTTCTGATGAGAAATCCACAGTAATTTGAATCATATTTTATATTTGATATGCTGTTTATTTCCAGCTGTTTTCAATAATTTAATTTTTTTTGGTGAACAGAAGCTTAGTTATGATGTATCTAAACATTTTTAAAATCTCATTTTGACTGGGATTTATAACTTCTTTACTCTATGAATTAATGACTTTTACCAAATGTGGAAAATTTTCAATCATTATTTCTTCACATATAATTTCCACGTCGACCTATTTTCCCCCATCTCTTTAACATTTTAATACCATGAATGATAAAACTTTTGATATATCCAAAAATTCTTGAGACTATTCATATTTTAAAAATGTGTATTTTCTTGGATTTTCAATTCAGTAATTTCTATTGATTTATCATCAAGTACTCTCTCCTCTGTTATCTGAATTCTGCGATTGGCCAATTCAATGAATGTTTTTTAAAATTTCATATATTTTACTTTTCAGTTATGAAGTTTACAATTGGTACTTTTTATATTTCTATTTCTCTGTTTAAGATTATCTATCAATCAATCTATCATCTATCTATCTGTTATCTAGAAATAGAATATACAGATGAATATATATATATACATATGTATATATAATTCAATTCAAGAGTGTGTATTTTTACCACATGAATCTTAGTTATAACAGCTACAGCTACTTAAAAGTGTCCACTCACTTTGGTGTTGGCATCTGTAATAGTGATCTATTGTTACTAAAAACTTAACAGCTTAAAAAACATACATTTATAATCACACATTTTCTGTTGGTCTGTGCTTCAGGCATGACTTAGCTGGGTCCTCTGCATAAGTACTTTTCACAAGGCTGCAATTAATGTATCAGCTCGATCTGTGGATTTATTTCAAGTATTGACTGGGGAAGGACCTATTTCTAAGCCCACATGGTTGGCACAATTCAATTACTTGCAGGTTATGAGACTGAGGGCCTCAGTTTCTTGTTGGCTATTGGCCCGAGGCCACTTTCAGTTCCTGAGGGGACCTCTCCATTGGACAGTTCACAACATAGCTGTTTTCTTGATCAAAGTCTGCAAAGAGGAAAGTATGTAAGAAAGATGTATGTTATGATCTCATGTGAGATAATCATGGAGGTAACATTCTATTAGACTTCCTATACTCTATTGGTTAGAACTGTGTCACAGGTCCTGTAGCACTCAAGGAGAAGAGGGTAACACAAGGGCTTGAATATCAGTAGGTGAGAAAGATTGGAGGCCATCTTTGTCCTTACACTATGGCGTCTCTCAGTTGTTCTTTCCTTTGAGAATTGATTACAATTACCAGTTATTTGTATGTCATATGATTTTGTATTGTATCCTGGACATTTTGAATATTATGTTGTGATTCTGTGAATCTTGTCAAAATTCCTGAGACATAACTATTTGTTGTTTTCTTTTAGCACTGGTAAGATTCATCCCACTACAATTTCTGCCTCAACTTCATGATTGAATGTTATGCATATCAAAGCCAAAGAAGAAACCCGAACATTGAAGGTAAGATTTTATATATTCAGCTATGCTCATATGTTTTCAGGATACAATATCTTCTGTTCATGATGAACTCATAAAAATTAGCGTCAAATGGCTTGCTGGAGTATTGACATTATCCTATATCGGTGTAAGATTCTAAATGTTGCTTTCTCCTCCACTCCTAATTTTCCTTTCCTGATCTGAATGGTGTATAAGTGAGAGAATAGGCATAAGTGAAGACTGGGGCTCTGTTTGGATTCAAATGGAGGGGGTTAGCATATGGCTTTCTTTACTGTGGGTTTGTCAAGAACCTGAAAAAGATAATTCCGTATATTTAACTAAGCATGATGAATGAAAAGTCTAAATAATATCAATACTCATAGACCTCCGGTCACATAGGGAAAGCTCAACTTTAGCCAAACATGCCAGGTCCCTGCTGAGACTGAAGACAGCCTGAAGTACCAATTGAAAGACTAGGTAAATCTATATAGCAAAAAAAATAATAGCTAAAATCATCATAAGAAAAAAAATTGTATTTACCAGACAAGAAACTGAGATTTACAAAGGTCACAGATTTTTCTGAAGTCACAAATCTAGGAATTAGTATGGCAAAGAGAAATATTGAGGACAAATATTTGCAAAAGAAAAAACATTGTTACCTGATAGAATGACCAAAAAAGCAAGGACAAACTATGCATAATAAATAAAAGGAAATGAAATCTCCCAGATTTATTAGGAAATTAGAAATTAGAAAAACAGAGAAGAAAATTTAGCATAAAATTACAAAAATAAGAGGTATGCCAATATCATCTTGATGTAAAGAGGAATGAATTCACATGATGAATTTTGAGTTCATGCAGATGTCAGGAGGCATCAGATCCAGGTATCAGGACTTCAGAAAATCATATCAGAAGTTTGTAGTGTAGTTTCAAATAAACATCAGTTGATGGTGAGGCATAGAACTAGTCGGGTTCAGAACTGCTAAACCATTAAGTGAAGATCCAGAGAGTGAGAGTCTCCCATGGTGTCCTCAGTAGTAGTAGCCAAAGCCAGAGCCACTGCCACTGCCACATCCATAGCCACAGCCACACAGAGAGTGGGAGCCATATCTGTAGCCACAGCCCAGGCCTCCATAGCCACATATTCCATAGCACTTTTAATAAAGAAACAAACAAACAAACAAACAAAAAACGGGTTTAGGATTTCAGATTGAACAGGTTTATTAGGGAAAAGGAAAAATAGCTACTGAATAAAAATCAAAAGGTGGAGTCTGTGACAGCATCATTCCAATGGGAGACCACACAAGAGTTCTCAGGATGAATTTCACATGTTCTAGCTTTTTATGAGTTAAATACAGCAAAGGAAAAGATGGATGCCTCAGACTCAGAGGGCACCGGAAGGTAAGTCTTCAGCAAAGCTCAGGATATATGGTTCGAATTGACGAATCCAAATTCTAGGTGTCAAGAATGAGAGTCTTCAATGGCGTCCTCAATAGTAGTAGCCAAAGCCAGAGCCATAGCCACTGCCACATCCATAGCCACAGCCATAGCCACAGCCATAGCCGCAGCCCAGTCCGCGGAAACCACAGCCATAGCAAGAGCCGTAGCCACAGCCCAGGCCTCCGTAGCCACAGCATCCATAGCCGCGGCCCCCATAGTAGTTTCCGTAGTAGCCACACATGGTGTCAGTTGTCGAGGTTGTCCTTTGGTGTAGAAGGAGTGTAGATGACTTCAGTGTGCACAGTGTCTCTGCAGAGGGCCTTTTATATGCCCTCAGTGTGGGTGGGACCCACCACACGTGCTCATGTCATTGGCTGATCTGCAGGACCACTGTGAGTAATTTGTTGACTCTTGGCTTTCGGCATGGCTTCATAGCCAATGAGGAGATCTGCTTTGCTTAGCCACATCTAAACCACTTAGTGGACCATTAATGAGAATCAATTGTCTCATCCTTAAAGCCTTACTCATGAGATCTTTAAGTAACTCATTTTAACCAATCCTTATGGCAAGAAATAGCATTTTTATTGACGAACTCTGACCTGCTCCAGACAAACAATAACTTTAACTTATTTATATTAAGTCAGATCATAGTATTCTTTCTTAACCTTGAGCTTGTCCATTTATTACTTTGTGCTCCAAATCCATTATTTTCCTTTAGAGATTCTTCTCATTTTCAAGTGAGAGATGGTTTATTGTTAAAAGCCACAATATTATCACTCAGCTTCATGAGACTTTTGAAAAGAATCAAATGATTTGGAAGTCTGGAACACCAGACCTGAGAAAACTGGACTCTTCTTTCTCATTTATATTAATATTCCTTAAACTTTTAATACTTTATTTTTAAAATATGAAATATTTTCCCAAGATTTCAAATTTATATCCTGAATCCATAGTCAGGTAAATGATGTGATTTTTATTGGATTTAAGAAATAATTTGTTTTAAAAATATTTATTTAAAATAATAATATTGGCAGAGATACTTTTTTATGGAGCCTACTAGACTTTTTCCTAATAAACAAGCTCTTAATAAAATATCTCAGACTGTGAGAAATATAAGAAACACATCATCATCATTATTATTATTTCAATAAAACTCATACTTGAATTCAATGATTAAGTGAAATAGTACTCTGAACTTTTATGGTCCTAGAAAAACTGACTTCTCAAGGTCAGTAGATCATAGTAGATAAGATTAAAACTTGTTATATTCTATGTTTACACATGTTCACTCAAAGGAGAGTAGAAATCAAACAAATAGTGATAAACAGAGGAAAAAGGAGCAGGGAAATTTTAATTGAAGGCATTTAAGAGGGGAAGTCCTAAAATATAAACTTTATCTTCACAGATATTTTATTAAGTATGTGGCATTAATAATGAAAATATTGTAATATTTGAATTATTCTGGAAGTTCTTTTGCCTTTACTGGAAAAAATATTAGCTAGCTAGAAAAATAACATATTTTATATTTATATACAAAGATATAAAACTCATGTAATAATGGGACCTGCCACTTGAGTAAGTTACTTTATCTCTTGACATTTTTTACAGTTGTAAAATGAGGATAATTTTAATACATCCTAAGGCTGTTCTGAGGATTATGTGAGATAATGCACATACATAGTTCATAAAATAATTGCCCTATGGTAAACAACTAATAAATGTCATTTAATTATTACTATTATTAGAGTTTTGAAATAAGAATTCCATGAACAGAATCAAGCAAGATAAACAGAGAATATTCTTATATAAACAAAGAGGCAGTAAGTAAATCATGCATATAATAGTAAATGATGACACATAAAAGATATTTATTAAATTCCAGACATGTTCTAAGTGCTTTAAGTATTTTAGCACATTTAATTCTCATAAAAAACCCTAGAATGTAGGTGCTAATTTTTATGTAAGAATGTCAGAGCCAAAGAAGTTCAATAATTTGCCTAACGTCCTAGGTTGCTAAGTGGCAGAACCTAAATGTTATATGATGCAATATATTTATATATACTTTCTGACTCATGAGAGAGCCTGGAACTTGCTACCCCTATTACAATGATAATAGATTATTTATAATAGCCATAAATTTAGACTGACATAAATAAATAAACAATCGAGTGGAAGGAAAAACTTTGCAGTAGAATGCCAGCTAATATATTTTTTAAAATTATGAAAATCAGAAAACTCGACATTTGTGATCCATCATCATTATAAATAATTCAGGCAAGAAAGAAAAATAAATGTTGAGACTAGTGGTAAGTGTTGGGATATGAATGGAATATTTATAAAGTAACAAAATATCTCTACCAAAATACTTCTTATCTGCTAAAAGAATAGTAAAAGTAAACTTTAAGTAGAAAAATCTGGTACTCATGAAATTGATCAAAGTTATCACCACTAATAATGGAACAAATCAACTTCAAGTCCCTACCAAGATAGGGTACGATAAAAAGCAAACGATATTATTTTCTTTATGTACTTGACAAAATGCATAGCCTTGTTCTAATCATGAGGAAATATTATATAAATCTAAACAGGAATATTCGAAAAGAAAAAATCTCCTGTAATCTACAAAATATTAAAGTCATGGAAGAGACTAGATGGCATGACAACTAGGAGCATTGCCTGACCCTGGATTAGGTTATTTTTCTGTAAGAGCTTTATTAGAATCATTGATTCTTAGAAGAGATATTATGGAAAGTAAGAGGAGGTAGCAGGTTTGGATAGAGGGAAAAATTGAGTTGGCTGCAGGATCGAAGGAGGCTTCAGAAAACCGTATGTGAGATTCTGAAGCTGGGATGTCTTTACACAGTTGGGGGTTGGGGCAAGGAGTTGTGTCTTTATAACCTAAACAGACCAATCATTGGAGGCAGTGGTGCTCTTTCGCTAAGGCAGTTTCTGTGGAAGGCTGACAGCTAGCTGAAGGCACTCTGCTTGCAACCCTCAGCAGCAGGAGAGTAACTTTTTCATTGCTGAAGAGGAAACCGAGTAGATATCACAACATTCAATAGAGTACTGTTTCACAAAATAATTGCAGAAATGGGTAAAAGGTGAATACACAACATTTAAATAAACTTACCTGTGTTAGGGGTGATCCAGTCATTAATTTCAAAAAATGTAACATCCTTAAATAATCCACCTATCGCACAGAATTCTCAGTGACGCATTTTTTATACTTCACATGTTTAACTTTATTCTCAGACTTCATCGTAGAACACACAGTCACCTTATATACACTCAATGCTTGATTAAGCTTTACATTTCTCTAATTTTTGGCATTTCTGATGATCTTAATCTTTGTCTTAAAAATATTGGTTTATGGAATATATCATTATAATTGATACAATCAGAAAAAACAGATTGTGGAATATTTTAGTAAATAATTGTCTTTTAGTACTAAAAATGTATTAACGTATTAACATCAAGAAATAATGAAAGGCTAGGGAAATGCTCCGGATGTCATGAAATGCTAAATTACGACAGATAATAAATTGCAAAGTGTGATAATTTCCACTAATTCAATTCTGGATCTAAAATAAAAGCTGTAGAAGGCAATTGGAAAAACTGAACATGGACTACGAATTGTGTAATAGTGTTGTATCAAAACTATGTGGGTTTTATGTGTGTGTGTGTGATAACGGGATTGTGGTTACTTGGGGAACATCACTATTCAATTAAGAGTAGTGTCATGAAGTATAAAACATATTCTCAAGTGGTTCAGCAATTATATTGGAGGGTGGGCATGGTGAGGAGTGTGGTGAGGGATAGAGGAAACAAAACTGGAGAAATATTAACGATTGCAAAATCTAGGTGAACAGTATTTAGGTGTTCACTATACTGCTTTCTTGACTTAATTGAGGGTTTGACATTTTTCAAAATTAAATTCTGGAAGAAATAAGTTTATGCCTAGAAAAATATTGTTTTTAGAGTACTAAAATATACAATGGATCATTTCTTTAATGCCAAAATTTAAGTGATTCCTGTTTGAAAGACTAAGTATGAGCACAGAGGGTTAAAAAGGTAAAAAGTAAAAGATTAAAAAAAAAATAAATGCAAAAATGGTATGCAAACTCTTGGTAAGAAAGAGAGGGAGATAAGAATGCATAAATTAATATATATAGAACATATAATATATGATATATACTTGTTTTTATAATAAGAAAGCAGAGAAAAATGAAAATGCTTACATACAGGAGTGAGTGGGAATGGGATAGAAGAAATAAATATGGAGTAAGATTTCTTTGAGGACATCTTTTATATAATTTTTTCAAAAGTATAGAAAGCCGCCCCATTACTTTTCAGGTGAATATTTGACACATTAAAAAATATAAAAGTACATCTATAATTAAATATAAACAGAAACAAAAGAACTCTCTACATAAGATGAATAGCATAATTATTTGGGAAGAAAATTAATTTACATAAGTGTTGAGCACAATATTCTCCAATTTTTAGTTGTATACTTTCTAATGATAAAAAGTACTGCTAAGGAACTTTAGCAGTTTTCTCATGGATATTGCTTTCAGCATGGTATTCAGAGTGTATTTTGTGTGTATTTCGTGTGAATTAAACTAGTAAATAATTGGGGTCTAGAGTTTTCACTGTAAGAAAAGAGAGACGCAAGTGTGAGTAAAGTGTAAAAGAATCGTGTTTTTCAATTTTAGGTAGAGTAATTCATAATTTAAGGACTTTAATGAATTAAACAAGCCATTGTGAGTACAAACTCTATGTTTGGGGCTTTTAGTGGTGGTATTTAAGTTTAAATATGTTAGAGTCGCTAAGAATGTCAACCAGTTGTGCTCATATTAAGACATGTGTAAGGGATTGATCTTGCAAAATTATAATCAATAAAAACCTTATCTTGAGAGTTTATAATGAAGGTCCTATTATCTAGTTTACACCAATATCTAGTTTATTTGCATTAAGTATTATAACCTATATGCCCAGGTGGTTTTAAAAATCTACTATTTCTTGAGATAGGTGAACAAAGACCACTCAATATTCTCATAATATTAAATAGAAAGTTTTAAGCTTCAAGAGTAAAGTTAATAGAAAAGAGAAGTCTTCATAAAAGCATGACTTTAAAGAAAAAAGTGCTTTCTCTTGGGTTGTCCTCTTTCTAGCGATCCTAGTTTCTTCCTCTGGCTTCAATGTTTTTACCACTTTGCACTGTCAAAATGAATTGGAACATATCCGTTATCTTACTCTAAAACACTGCTTACATTCATTCATGCCTAATCCAAGAGCAAGGAATATGAAGATAATTGGCAAGTTTACAGATGCATTAGTCACAGAAAATTATTGGAAAACAAGTAATTTATAGCTACAACTGTGAAAATGCACAAATCACAGGAAGGGAAAATCTCAAGACAGACAAGAGTATAGAAAGCCATTGAATGGCTCTAAGCTTGAATATGTAATGAATTTTAGAATAGGTGTCACTCAAACTAGAGTTCAAGGCACATAAAAGTTAGGTAGGGATAGAGTAGGTTTAAAGTTCTCTACCGCTTACATGCGTAAGCATCAGAAACATTTCTTGTTTCGATATGCCGAGAACAAAGACTAGAATTGGGGAATTATGTGTCAGCGTTCATATCTTCGAAAGGATTTCACACAGATGCAAGTTTCGGTGTAAAAGCTCTTGGAATATATAGTGTTTCTATGCAATGCTTAACTAAATTGAAAAAAATTACACACACTAACACTGCTTTTCCAGAGTAGAAAAATGAGGGATACAAGGTGGTTACTTCCTAATGTCACAAATCAAAGATTTGGTAGAGCAACTGAAGTAGAAATACTAAAAGAAGATTTCCCCTAAATAAGGCAATTGTTTCCTTTGATTCAACCAGGTAAAAAAAGCCAAAATAACAAATACTGCACTTTCAATAAAGAAAAAAAACAGGTTTATGTTTTCAGATTGAACAGGTTTATTAGGGAAATAGAGAAATAGCCCCTGAATAAAAAACAAAAGGTGAGGTCTGCGACAGCATCGTTCCAATGGGAGACCACACAGGAGTTCTCAGGATGAATTTCACATGTTCTAGCTTTTTATGAGTTAAATACAGCAAAGGAAAAGATGGATGCCTCAGACTCAGAGGGCACCGGAAGGTAAGTCTTCAGCAAGGCTCAGGATATATGGTTCGAATTGATGAATCCAAATTCCAGGTGTCAAGAATGGGAGTCTCCAATGGCATCCTCAATAGTAGTAGCCAAAGCCAGAGCCATAGCCACTGCCACATCCATAGCCACAGCCATAGCCACAGCCATAGCTGCAGCCCAGTCTGCGGAAGCCACAGCCGTAGCAGGAGCCATAGCCACAGCCCAGGCCTCCGTAGCCACAGCATCCATAGCCGCGGCCCCCATAGTAGTTTCCGTAGTAGCCACACATGGTGTTGGTTGTTGAGGTTGTCCTTGGGTAGAGAAGGAGTGTAAGTGACTTCAGTATGCACAGTGTCCTCGAGGAGGGCCTTTTATATGCCCTCAGTGTGGGTGGGACCAGCAGTGTATATCATGCCATTGGCTAATTTTATGACTAATCTAATTCGTTTGTTGTTCTTCAGTCATAAGATAAAGCCTCTGAGGTATTCGGGAGACTTGCAGTGTTTGGTCTCTCAGTTTCGACTCCCCTTATTGAATTGAGGGCTCCAGTGAGAGGAGACACCCACACACTCACATATACACAGTCCTGTCCCAAATTGGACTTTCATTTTAACCTCAGATAGTTATCTCTACATCAAAAAAGAATACATTTATTTGTCTCAATCTTATTTGCTCTTGGTTCCAGTTAGTTTCACTAATTTTTTTAGCATTTCACAAGAATCACATTCTTTTTTTAAATTATATTTATTGGGGCGACTGGTTAATAAAATTGTATAGGTTTCAAGTATATAATTCAGTGATGCATTATATGTATATTGCATTGTGTGTTCACCACCCAAAGTCAAATCTCCTTATACTTGACCCCCTTTGCCCTTATCTACTTCCTCCTCCCCAATTTCCCTCTGGTAACCACTAAACTGTTGTCTGTGTCTAGGAGTTTTTGTTTGTTCGTCTTGTTCATTGGTACTTTTAGTTTAATATCCCACATATAAGTGAAATCATATGGTTCTCAACTTTTTCTGTCTGACTTATTTTGCTTAGCATGATAATCTCAGGATTTATCCATATTGCCGCAAATGGCAGTATTTCATTTTTTTTCTTATGGCTGAGTAATATTCCATTGTATGTATGTACCACATCTTCTTTATCCAATCATCTATCAAAGGACACTTCTGTTGTTTCCATGTTTTGGCCACTGTGAATAATGACACAATAAACATCAGGGTATATATATCTTTATGGATAAATATTTTCAAATTTGGGAGGTAGGTACCCAGAAAAGAGATTTCTGGGTCATATGATAATTCTATTCTTAATTTTTTGAGGAACCTCCATACTGTTTTCCATAGTGGCTGTACCAATTTACATTCCCACCGGCAGCATATGAGGGTTCCTTTTTTCCCCTGAACCTCTTCAAAACTTGTTATTACTTGTCTTGTTGATGATAATCATTCTAACAGGTGTGCGCAGATACCTCATTGTAGTTTTGATTTGCATTTCCCTCATAGCTGGTGAGGTTGAGCATCTATTCATATGACTGTTGGCATTGTAGGTCTTTGTGGGAGAAGTGTCTGTTTAGGTCCTCTGCCCATTTTTTGATTAGATTGTTTGTTTTTCATTATTAAGTTGTATGAGTTCATATATTTTAGATATTAGCCTCTTTTTGGAGGTGTCATTTGCAAATATCTTTTCCATTCAGTTAGTTGCCTCTTTGTTTTGTTAATGGTTTCTTTTACTGTACATAGCTTGATGTAGTCTCATTCATTTATTTTTGCTTTTACTTCTCTTGCCTTTGAGGGGAGGGCAATCTGGTTGTGACATCTGTCACCCCATTAATTTCCAGGGTTGATTTGGCTGATCTGGCTGGCTAGGTGATGTCCTCTCCCTCCCACATTGCTCTGTGTATGTCCCTCTGGAAGCTGAATGCCTGTTTGGAGAGGACAACCTTCCCCAATACAGAAGATCATTCTTTGGTGTAGGATATACGAGTAGCTGCGATCCTCAGCTAGAACCTCCAAACAAGCTCTCAAAGCCCTTAGACAATATTTTTATCTAATCTACAAACTGTATTTGATTTCACATTTTTTTTTTTACCACTAGTGTCTTTTTGTTGTTGTTGTTCTAGGATGCAATCCAAGATCCCACCTGTTATTTGATTGTCTCATCTCTTTAGTCTCCTCCAATTGGTGACAGTTTCTCAGTTTTTCTTTAACTTTGATGGTATTGACAATGTTAAAGAATGAAATGTTTTGTAGTATGTTCCTCTATTTGAATTTGTCTGTTTTCTCATAACAAAGTAGAGATTATACATTTTGAGCAAGATTACCAGAGAGATGTGCTTATTTAGTTTTGTCATAGCAGGAGGTACATGATGTCAGTTCATCTTTGATAGTTTCTAGAATAGATTTTTAAGCTGGTATTATTAATGGGATAAATTCTATTTCTATATAACCATGGTCCATAGCTCTAAACCTCAGGGACTCTATCATGGCTTTTGATCATACAAAATAATAGGTGCATATATTTGTGAATTATAAACAAAGTGAATAATATTGCTCCACAAAAAAAATAAAAAAACACATGAATTATTCAAGAATTCACAGATGAACCCTGCCATGTCTTCTATCATGTCTTCTCCACAACTTTTCTATCCTTCCTTACCTCTTCGAAGGCACATTTTTGTTCCCAAGGGTAATATATGCACGTAATAAGGAGAATATTATTAAAGAAAAAAAATTTTAAAGAGGTGAATCCTGTATGATCATATGATCTCATGGTAACTAGTAATATAATTTAGATTTTACATCTGGACTAATTAAGATGCAAAGATAGAAGAATCTTTCATTAAAGGAAGACGAGTTCATTATAGCCATCCTGACACACAGCAAAACTGTCTTGGATATATTGGTTTATGAGGAATTCTTGAGATGATTATAATGTCATTCGTTTGAAACATAAATCCAACAGCACCTGTGGTTTGCCCCACATACCACTCAGTTGGTATATAAGGCCCTGTGTAGATTATAAACTGACAATTCTAGAGATCAACTCTACTCTTCAACTGAGTCTTCTTCTCCTCACATCATGAGCTTCTACAACAACTACTATGGTGGCCTGGGCTATGGCTATGGGGGCCTGGGATGTGGCTATGGATATGGCTACGGTGGCTGTGGATATACCTGTTATCGTCCATGCTGCTATGGGAGATACTGGTCTTCTGGCTTCTTCTGAGAAATTCTAGATTGCTCATCACTTCAAGACATTCTCTTATGAGGCACTATGTGTACCTCCTGCATTATTCATTATAACCATATTATTGTCTGTTCAGACAATGAGAACGAAATACTAAACTACTATGTAACATCAGAACTTTTTTGATGGAAATGATCTGAGTTTCTGACAACATAAAAAAATATTCATTTCATCTTGTGTTACTATTATACATTGAATAAAATGATCTTAACCATTGGAAAACTGTCTAAACTTATTTTTCATCAAAGGTAATTTGTTTTGCATACCTACAATATTTCCGTGTATACTTATTTATCTAGATTGTGTGTGTGTATGTATTTGTGTTTGAGATTGTTCATCCTTTGGTAATCTATAGTTGATAATTTAGAAGTGTGGTTGGATCCAGTGTATTTGCAATATGTGTTTTTTCGTTAGTAGATCCAAGGGCTACTATTATCTACCTTGATTTAATCAAAGCCTTGTGTTTGGTATATCCGAAGTTTGACAAAAGACATTGGCAAAATGGTGCCCTTTTTCTCACCATTTCATTTCTTAACATTTCATTCTTTCTGTGACACTCGATATTTAAATGTGCCTCTGGGAAGATGTAAGTTTTTCTTCTAAATTTTATA